AAAAATCGAAATTCAAATTCTGATTTCTAATTTCTCTTAAATTACAAATTTCGACTTTTGCATGGTGCTCGCCTGTGGGTTGAAACGGTGTAACACCAATTGGATTCTTGGGGCTGTTGAAAGAATACATCGGTATTTGTTGATAGCTAAGGATGCTGTTCTCAATAGTATGCCGATTTGCTTTAATTGGCTTTGGCTTTAACGTTATATCGCGCTCATTACCACTATTAACTGCGTTAACAGTACTACTACTCGTAGTAGTATTACTTGATGTCATTGTTGTATTGATATGATCACTACTAGAAATGACTGTTTGGACAGCATTATCAAAAAAATCATTTCCATTCTGTGTAAGCAAAAATTTTAAGAAATTCTTTATTTGTACACATATATAAGAATAGTATTTTTTTTTTACCTTCTCAGACTTATTTTGATCATCTTTTTGTACACAATCACTACTGGCTAGAGTTGGTTTCCTATAATCAAAGGCCGCATCCTCAATATCGGAATCAGCAACGCGTTCTTGACATTTTAAATCTATTTGTTTGCCATCATCGTGCTGACTTGTGTTGTTATTGCTACTATTATTATTATTTTTATTTTCTTCAATAGGAACAGACTTTAAAATAAAATAAAAAAAAAACAAAAATAAATAATATAGTTATGAAAATGGTTTGAATTTTCCTATGCAGTAAATAGCTACCATTTCATTCTCAGTTTGTGAGTCATCTTTTTCGGGTTCCAATTTAATTTTAACAACATCATTTGCATTCGCGTTGCATACTGTTGGTGTTGAGCTTTCATCAATCGTAGAAATATAATTTGCGATAGTTAACGGTATGATATCAGTTTGTGTATCTATTGAGGGACCATCAATATTATTCATTATATTTGCATTTTGATCTTGTTCAGTGATGTCCATTCCATCAGTTGAGTCATTACGTTGTTTACCATTTATTTCACACATCGTATTTTTTCCTGAACTAGATGATTTGCGCCTGTCTTTTGAGCACCATTTCCAGTCTGGATGCAATTTGAAATGAGCGTCTTTGACAGAACTAGCTAATTCATGATATTTAGCTTTTTCTTCAGGCTTAAGTGCATACCACCATTCTCCTAATATTTTGCTAACAGTACGATTATCCTGATTTGGATGTTTAGCATGTACTAATGTTCGATGTTTTTTAGAAAAAATCATAAAAGCGTTCATAGGTCTACGTATCTTGTTCTAAGTTTTTAAAGATAAACAAAAACAAAGATTATATATATTTTATAGAACATTAAAAAAAATCAAATGTACCTTTGTAATCGGACTCATTGGTTCTTTCCCAGTTGCACCCATACCACCAGCAGAACTCAGCGATTGCGAACGTCGTTTAGCAGCAGCCTGAGCTGCTGCAGTTGCAGTTGCTGTTGCAGTTGTACTTCCCATAGAATTTGTTGGTTCTATATCTATACGTTCTATACGTTCATCAATTTTTCGACTATTTTCATTAGATGATGATGATGTGCTAAAGTTGGTCATGCGATAGGTTTCATTAGTTGAACGTTTGTGATTTTGCTTTACTTGAGCGACTGTAGCAGCTGGTATAATACTTCCAGCAGGAGTATTATTTATTGAGGGCTCGAATACATCATCGTCTAATTGTTCGTCTGTTTCCTCTTGTATAGTGATCGATATAGTTTCTGCAATATTGTTTCTACTTGTTTCATTTGTGGCACAATTTACAGGGTTTGGGGGAGATTCCAGCGAATTCAATTTATTTTGATGGTTATTAATATTATGACTGCATGTATTGTTAATTGTTGGCGTATCTACAGTTGGTGGTACGATGCCAGCAATTGAGAAGTTTGTTAATGGCTGTGTTTTAACGGGAGATTGGTTTATATGGGGCAGTAACGTGTGCCAATGGTATATCGACCCCGGATTAAATCCTAAAATTAGAGCAGAGCAACATAAAAATAGTTAATAATAAAACTGATATAAATACATATAAGAATATGAGTGATACTTTAGTAGTACTTACCGTTTTTTGAAATTGGTTTTTCTGGCATTGGTGGCGGTTGATGTTGCGTTTGTTGATGAGCAGCTGGTATTATGCCAACTGAAGTAGATGTAGAAATTTGGTTTCCTGTATTAGTAGTTAAAGAGGCTTGTGTATGCGCTACTTGAATATTCGATTGTTGTTGGTGTTGTAAATGCAAGGCTTGCTGTTGTGGCAACAATGGTACCAATTGTGTAGCATCCACTATAACAGGATGAAAAGATTGTGTACTAGTTGCAGTAACAGCAGTAGTTGTTGATGAGTTGATGTTGTTCATTGTTGTAGCAGCTGCAGGTGAAATACGTATTACACTTGTTGCATGGCCAACTGAATTTGTTGCTGAAGGCATTACTACACTAGGAGGTGGTAATGGTGGACCCGGCGAAGTTTGTTGGTGTGGATGATGATGTGTCATGATATGATGAGTTGGTGGGGGCGCTGGTGGTGGTTGTATCATCTGCGTAGGAGGAGGAGGAACATGTTGATTATGTACTACCATTGATACTGGTGCTGTTTGTGGCGGCGGAATTGAGGAGACAATAGTGGCCGTTTGTGTTGCACCTGCGCCCTGAGCACGAACTGACTCTGGACGTATTACTTGTGGAAACCCCACATTATATAATACTGGACTAGGTGTATTTTTCCATTTTGTTGTATGTGGGTCTGCAGTAGCGACTGGTCCACCACCAATCGGTGTAAAAAAGTTTTGTCGATTTGATACAGGTACTGGAGAATGATTCACGTTCATAGGAGATGTGCCATGATTAACGGGTGAGGAGTACGATGGTGTAGCCGACCGCGAACTGCTCAGCGACACTGAAAAATATATTTTTATAGAGTAAGTCATTTCTTTAATTATAATTTTGTTTAGTTTACATAAACATTGTACGTATAATTTCGCGCCAAGGTCGTAGTCTTGAAACACATTCATTTCAAAATGTTCAAATGTTTAAATTTTTATTTTGTTTATGTTTTTATGTTTTTATATTAATAAATTAAGTCAATTTTATAGAAATAGTTTATAAAATATATTATTTATTTTACAGACTCTGTCGAATTCTATAGTCAAGTCAAGCCAATCTTTTCAAGTATGTGCTTTTCTATTTATGCAATTGTACAGTTTGACAATTACGGATTGCTGTCATCGTCTTTTTCTTTTCGTTTTCATTCTTTAAACTAAATTTTGCTGCACTTGGTTTGGATTACAAATCGGTAAGCATTAATATTTCCTTTCCATTCTGCAGGTAATTCAATGCGTTGCGTTTATCACGTGTGAAGAAACTACTATACTACTATAGCAGAGGCAGAATGTAAAGCAGGTAAAAAGTGCGTTTCAATGAAAACACTCAGTTGAGTGAGCAGTAAACAGTAAGCAATATAAATTATTTCTTAATGAAAACATGAGTAATAATTTTCTTAGTTTTTGATTTTATCATTAGAGTATTTTTGTTCTTAGTATGTATGTATGTATGTATGTATGTATATATGTATACATTTTCTTTGTGATTTTATGTATGAATAAAGAATGAGTTAGTTACATTTTTAAAGTTAATCCATATAATTTGCAAAGCAGGTATTTTTATGGATATAATTTTTGTCTGAAAATTACATGAAATTTCAAGGTTTTATGGACATAATAATTTTTGTATAGTAATATACATTTCTTCGATTTGTTATTATTTTTGAAATATAGTTTTAAGAACAAATTTAACCAATATTAATAGATTGTTTCTTGTGTTATATTGCGCTTAAAATTAGATACTAAATTAAACTTATTATAATATATTATTATTAATTTTTTTTAAATAATCATATGTAGTCATACCTAACATATTAGCTACATCTCTTTCCTCCTGATCAAAACGATCTGTGACACGATAGTTGGGTGACGTTTCCGAATCACGTGAGGTATCTTCGTCAACTTGGGTTTTGCTACTAGAGCGACTACTTATATCACTAAAAAAAGGAGAAATTAACTTTATTGATTAATTTAATAAACCAAGTAAAAATTAATTTAAATTAGGTTAAAAATTAATTATAAGAAATGTTAGATAAAATTATATAAATATAAACGCAGTTACCTTGGGAAACGACTTGGTCCAGTAGAACGTAATGCAGTATTTCCCTTTTGATTTAAATGGCGTGAGCAAAAGCCACGTCGTTGAGACTCTTTTGAACACAACGAACATAGCCGACGCCATTGCTTACCATTAAATTTTTTGCGAACACCGGATTCAGACTGTACGATATCGCCCTTTTTAAAGCGATGTGGTGTAGTCGCTTGAGATCTGGTTAAATCAATAATATTAAATCATTAGTATCCGATATTTATAGAATATACATATATATTTTATAGAAAAATTTCTAAGTAAAAAAATTTACAATGATTACTACATAAAAGTAATTTCGAATTCATTTTAACGTGTATCTATTTGTAAACAAACAAAGGTAAAACATCTATAATCAATACTATGTAGACTTAAGTTATTTGACACTAACACTTTCAATCTTTAATAATAGTAATTTAATAACATACAGTCAATTAAACATAAATACTTATAAATTAAAAATCACAAATGATGATGATGATGATTGTTAAATACTATTGTTAGCTTTTTACTTAAAACTGATTACACAAATTTCAATCCAGATTAATACCTTGGAGTTGCTGGATGAGATCTTGGAGTGAGCCTCTGATCGATTAAACTGGATGTACTGCCACGACTTTGCATGCTACTACGTTTACTGCCTCCCGATAATTTTTCAGGATCAGCATCGTTTATAGCATAACTGCCAATATCAACACGTTTTAATTCATCATCCGATTCATAATCATCGTATGATCTTTGTCTTCGATGCATATCATCTGATGGTGAATGAGAGATCTTGTGTATTTGTGATGGCAGGCAATTGGTATTGTGACTATTGCTAATTGATTGTGCTGAACCTGCATGCATAATTTGTTGTTGAGATATAATTATTTCTGGCACATTCGTACTATTTCCATTTCCATTACCATTTCCATTGCCAGAACAGTTTTCAATATTCGTTGAACTCGTTGAAGAACTGGCATTAACAACCAATGCTTGTAGCGTGTTATTATTTGAATTTTGAAACGGCGAAGTAGCTGTTGTACGATAATAATCTTCTTGTTTTTGTGCCGCTAATGACGGCACAACATGCTGAATATGTGTATTAGCATTTGTAGGCGTTTGGTGGCCAGGAATTTTTCCATCATATCTTGCAGTCACATATGTTAGTTGATGTGGACCTTTATTTGTAGGTGCATAAATAATATTAGCGTCTCCACTGACTAATATATGACTACCAGTCGAAGCAGATGTTTTTGCGATAATTCGTTGCGGTTGTGTATGTGTTGCCTGAATAGTTTGTGGTTTAATTGTTGCTTGTGTTGATGGTGGAACTATGTGTGTTTGTAGTGACACATCGATAAGTTCATCCCACCAAGGTGGTCTCAATAAACGTAAATCTGCACGTTTAACAGTTTTTAACTAAAATTAAACACAGTTTTAAATGATTATTTGTAGTTTTATTAAAATGCATATTTTAATGCAGTTTTAATTTGCTTACAATTTGCGTTGTATCTGTACTGCCAATTTGTACTGTAATTTGTTTTGTATTCATATTTATATCCGTTACTGAACCTTCCACAAACACAAAACCAGATCGACCTTCCATTTGAGTGCGTACACAGACTCGTGTGTCTAACACAATCTAAAAAAATAAAACATCAAAAAATAAGAAAATATATTGAAATTATACATTAGAGAATGTTATAGACATCTTGTGTGATAATATTTCATTATTTACTTACATCTGCAGCTGGTGGACTAGCGTCCGATATCACATTAAACCGACCATTTGTTAACACTTCTGTGTAAAGTTGCGTACAATTTTCAGGCGCATCAAATTCAACCAAAACTGAATTTGTTGGAGTTGTTGCATCAGATGCAGGTTGACGTATTTCGCCAGAGGCATAGTAACTGCCTAATTTTGCTAATACTCGTGTATTGGTCCATTCGCTAAGGTCTAAAGCTGTTTCATCGCATTGAGATTGTTGCGACTGGTGATTTTGGATCATACTAATAGATTGCTGTGGTTGGAGGTGATGATGGTTGTATGCTAAACGTTGTGGTGGAACTATGGCATTATTTGAAATATGACTAATAGGTGTCACTGTTCTGTTAGTGTTGTTGATGCCAATATTTTGCATCTTATAAGTACTTGAGGGATGTGTGCTATTTAAAAATAAACAATAAAACGTATTGGATAAAATTATGTGTACAAAATTGATTAACAAACCTCGCTATGATAATACGTTTCTCAGGACTTTCTATAGATGTAGCACATCTACCTGCTGAGACCACTGTCGTATTGTTAGTACCAGTAGAAGATACTGAAACAGGACTTACAATCATTGACGGCACGGTTCGAATGGCATACATTGTATCATTACTTGAAGCTAGGCTAGCAGTTGGTGAAGGTGTGATTAAATGTTGTTGAGTCCATTGCCGATTTCCGATACCACCAGTTGTGGTACCGCCTGTACTGGAAACAATTATATTGGTAGCATTTGTTGTACCATTTTTATATGTTAATGGTAAAGCGGTATTTTTTGTAGACAACATATTAACATCATTATTGGATATTGACGACTCATGTTGCTGTTGAGACTGTTGAGAGAGTTGAGGCTGTTGAGGCTGCTGAGTGTGCTTTTGAAGTATATCAACTTGATCAAGCTCAGCTGGATCAAATTTTCGTTTTTTTGGATGTTGCCGCGGCGCAGTTTGTGGTTGTTGCGTTTGAAAGAGAGCATGGCTTTGTTGATGTTGTTGCTGTTGCTGTTGTGAATGCTGACCAGCAGCAATAACAGCTGAAACAGTTGATATGGTTGTTTCATTTGATGTTGAAATAGTTGTAGACGATGGTGATGCTGTTGCTGTTGTTGCCGTAGATGGTATAACCATTTTGGAAGGCGATACAACAGCAACACCGTTTATTGTATTCGTTATTAGTTGTATATGTTGCTGATGTTGATGCTGAAATTGCTGGTGCGGTTTTTCAAATTCTATTTTGGAATTTTGACTCGTTACGTTAATTGTTGCCGTCGTTGATGCTGCTGTAGCTTTAACCATAATTCTTGCAGCAACATTAAATACGTTGCTCCATGCATTTGAAGCTCCAGCAGCAGCGGTTTCTTAGGAAACCGCAATTTAGTCGATGTTTTTTACAATATAAATTCTAATACCATCTGTAAAAAAATTTTTTATAAACATATGAATTTGTTTTTAGGAAATAGTTTGATATATTTGATATATTTAACTAAAGACAAATCTATTATGTATTGTATTTTTATATGTAGAAGTGGAATAAAATAAATTATTTTTATTGTAGTATAACAGATACTGCTTGAAGCTATCTTAAATGTGTTCTGTGTGAACTCTATAATTATTTCAGTATACGTTCACAATAGTTGTAACTTTTACAGTTGAGGAGTACTCTTGTCCTGCAACTATGACAAATTTGCGACTTTATTACAGTCGAGGTATTTTTCAGTTTTAAAATTTTAAGACATGTATATGTACATTAAAAAGTTTTACGATTTAAACATATTACATATTTAAACATATTACGATTTAAACATATTTAAACATATTAATTTAACCCATTAATCTAAGTGAGGTTCGTGATATAAGGTTTACTTATTTTATTTTATTTTATACAATGTGTAATTAAAATAAAAATTTGTAACATTATGTAATTAGTTATAAGATTTTACAACTTATTGTTAGTCTCATTTTAAGAGAAGATGCAATAAATAAATGTAAGTTTTAATAAAAATAAAAAAAAAAAAAACATATTACATATACTATATTTAGCATCAGTTTTCTGTATATGCATATATATTATTTGATGTTATTTAAACTAAATTTATAATCAAGAAATTTTTTTGTGCAGTTTTTGACTGATTATATTGATTGTCATTTGGTCTATCCTGTATTTTTGTAATATTAATAAATAACTAAATATTTTTTTAGATTCCCCCATACAGTTTTACTCAATGATGTCTCAAACTTTATTCTCGAAGTTTTTTTTACAAAACTAAAGTAGTTAACGACGTAGTAGAACGAGACCTACATAACCAACGAAGAACGAAGAAGAAAAGTTACTATTGCTAGTGTACTACTGTAAACGCATATAGTCAAAAAATATCCTAGCTATTCTAAAAAACGTTTCTCAACAAAGTGCATAATCAAATGTGTGTGTGATATACATATAACAATTCTTTTAACTTTTAGGAGAAGTATAGGGCCGTAAATGATTATCTTAAAGTATTGTTGCGTAAATTTCGAATTCAGCTTAGTCGTTCGCAATCGCTGGATCGCGATAAACAATTAAATAGTCGACTCTTGTTGTATATAACCATTTTTATTGCTCTACATTTTAGCAATCACCAATACATCCAACTAACTGTCATACTTAGAAAACTATTTATAAGCTCATTTAGGGTCATGTTATGCCCCTAAATGATTGTCTCGGGCACGGCAAAATTCGCTCTTTCAGGCTATGCCGCAAATGCATGTTATGCAGAGTGTTACATCAGTATTGCCAATTTTGTATTTTTACTACTTCTTGGTACTTCTTGGTTGTGTCCAAATTTAAAAGGAAATTTAGATATTCTCACTTTCAATTTGTCACCAAAAATAACTAGCAAGAAAAAACTCATAGAGGCTGTAATAATGTTAATTTATTACGATATAATAGTAATAATCTTATAATAGTAACTATTAAATAGTTGTTAACAGTACTTAGGCTTTTCTTTAAAATCGGAAAGTGTAATAATTATATTATTAGCGATTTGCTTACTGCCATTTTTGCCTTATTACCGGGGCATAAATACGCTGGCTCTCATGCCGGAGTTTGAACGGCCATATTGTTTTTTCTCTCATTATCAAATTTAAAATTTGCATTAAAAACAACAACAATTGTACTCATACCGTGACTGAGACACTCTGCACAACATGCCCTTAGGTTCTTAATTTATTACAGTATATATATTTTATTCACTTTTGTCCATGTTGAGATTTTTCCGTGTTAGTGCAACTGGGCACTTTTACTTTTTCTTAGCTGGGAGATTAGATAGTACTATGTATGTATTTATGTATTTTGTATTTATGTATCTTATGTGTTTTTTGACCGGGTTTATTCTGAGATCTCTTAGCATGTCATTCATGCGGATGTAACATAGCACTTCAAAGAGTCTTCGTTGAGCCTGACTTTGAGCAACTTGTAGCTTCTGGATAGTAGAGCTGGCAGCTTTGCTATACGTGACACACCTGTAGAGAAATGTCGATCTGATTATTTGGATGTAGATCAACTTTCTGATATTAGTGCTAAGGTTATTGTGTTTAATCAGTAGCCGTAAATGTTTTAGTACAACTACTTCTTTTGTCTTGTATATGCTTGTGCCAAGCGAACCGCTTATCAAACGCGATTCTCAGGTATTTGATGTTGTTCTTCAATTGATCGCAATGTCACTAACTCTCACTCGTGGTAAATGCTGCCTGTGTTTACAAGTTATAAACAGGGACTTAGTTTTCCCGTTGTTAATTTTATTTTCCATTTCTAAAAGGATTTCAGGATGAGATTAACATGCTCTTACGACGTGTTAGTTATATTTCTGCCATGTTTAACGGTATATAACATGCACGTGTCATCTGCGTATAATGCTAGCACCGAGGGACTTAGCATTGGGATGTCAGACGTGAAGATGTTGTACAACAAAGGGGAGAGCGGCGACCCTTGAGGAACACTGGCTTCTATTCTTCAGATAGAAGAGAGGGTACCGTTCATTCTTACACGAAAGGATCTCTGAAATCACTCGTCGGGGAGAATATTTAGCGATTTCACCTAAGTTCTAAGTCTGTCTAGAATCACTTTTTCTGCCAACTTACCCAAAGTTGACGGCAAGCAGATGGAGCGCCAGTTCTGTGAAAACTTTGGGTCCTTGTCGGGTTTAGGGTAGACTACAACTGCAGCCTGCTTTCGAAATTATAAGCAAAATGTGTATAAATAAATACAAATTTACGTATAAAAACGTATGATGGTAAATCATATCACCATCAGTAAAAGCAGGAGTGATAGTGAATTTTTTTGTTGAAGTGACTATACTGCAAGTAATTGAAAAAAATTTTATGAGATAGTTGACTTTGAGCCTATTAAAGAAAGCTTGTGTATGACCATACTCATACCATTCAAATAGTTGGTTGGTTAAGATTTTTAGCAATCAAATAGTTTTATAGGAATATTTAGCGTTATTTAACTGCAATTCAGAATATTGTTTGCCGTAATTTGCCTAGTCCAGGAGAGGTACTGTGTACTGTCCACAATGTTATGGCAACGATAAAAAATGTACGGTTCGAAGTCCTGATTTAAAGTATGTAAATACGATTGTATATTCTCTGTCAACATAGCCAAACATTTTTTATATACCTATGTCGACAAAGTAGATGATATATACAGTATACAGACATGTTCTTAACTAGCCGAAAGAAATTTTTTATAAAAACTTTATTTCAGAACTTAAACAGAGTGATCAGGCTAAAAAGAGAATTGGTTTGAAAGCCGGATTAAACCCAGAAAGGAAACATTTTTATTTTAAAGCTGACAGATAAATATTAAAGTTTTATAATATAGTAATGCAGGAGAAATGTTAGAAATGCTTTAGAATGTTTGTGCAACATACATAAATAAATTTGTGAAAATTTATTTAAATTTATACTAAAAAAAGTTTTTAAAGTATTTTGTTGTTGAATTTCTATCCTGAAATATAATATATTGTAGTGAAATTATTTAGAACGATAAATATTATATGGGAAAAAATTCTTAAAATCCTGTCACTGATAAAACTTGGGTGGAAATATCACTGATAAGAAAAAATATCAGTTGTTGTATATATGCAGCTATGGTGTAAATATTAAAATAAATGATTAGTATGGTATGTCTAAAAAACATTTAAAATCAAAGAAACTTTAAAACCGCTAAATGTATAGTGTATAGGAGGGAGTAGAAACGTGTAAAGAGTAAGAAAGCAAATGCACACCAAAAAGTCAGTAACCCCACTCAACAATGTAATATCACCGTGGTTGCAATCGTTTGTAGTTGTTGTATGTGTTGTTTTGTCAATGTAGTAAAGTTATACACTAAAATTAAAAAATGGTGTCCATGGTAGGTAGCTGCTGCTGCGACTGCTGCGACTGCTGCTGATGACGTTGATGTTAATGTTGATTATGAAGGGATTTGTATCATTGCGCGTGTCGAGATTTTTCAACTGACTCCCAATCAAAATAATAATAAAAAAAAAACAAAAAAAAATGTTTATTAAAAAATCTATATATGTATGTACATACATGTGTTACAGAATATACATATACATATTTGCATCAAAGTTATGTTCGTTCATACAATTGCTGTATTGTATGAAATATTCCCGCCGTAAATAAGATTGAAATGAAACAGACTGATGCTTGTTGTTATGCCTTTTGAACAGTGCAATTATTGTAGCTGTAAAAAATAAAAAAGCGCGGGAGAGGATAATAATGCATTTTTATATACGGCATTGAGGAATGAGTTTGAGTTTTTATACTCTGTTCAGTGTTCACTGTTCACTGTTCAGTGTAGTGTATACAGAAGAAGTCAGTAAATATTTACAATAAGACTAAATTCTTAACCACAGAAATAAAAAATATACCTTAGTCAGCCCAGCAGCTCAGCAGCCCAGCATTCAACACTAAGAGTGCAGTTGTGTTGCATGTTTTAGCATAACAAATGTGTGAGACTCACTGAGAGTGAGTTTAAGAATGACTGCGAGAGTTAGTACAGCAACAACAAAGATTTGAACGTTTTGTTTTTGTTGGTCTGAATCTCCTTAAAAATATGCTGCAAAACGTTGGCAAGCAAATTAAGCGAGAAGCGAGAAACGGAGACGTGTAAGATGTATTTGTAAAAAATAAAATAAAACAAAAAAATAAATAAAAAAAAAAATTAAAATATATATATACGTATGTACATTTCATTAAAACAGAGCTGCGCAATGCTTTCTAAAACTAAAGGGTGGGTGTATAATTGCTTTACACATGCATCTGCTGTCTGAGATATTTTATAATCCAACCAAATCAACAAACTGTATAAAATTCTTATCGCTAATCCTGTGCTTTGGATTGCACTGAATTTATGCACTCAATCTTATAATGGATGCACTTTCAAAAACTTCAATAGAACTTGTCATTTTGTTCACCATATGCAAGCAAGTGCAATTTTTTTAGTAACAGTCGTTGCTGTGTTATGCTATGCATGATGTTAGCATGTCGCATAGCAACAACAGTCAACGAGATTTACCAAAGACAGCCGACGTGATTTACTCAAACAGGCAATGTTCATTCCTTTTTGTATGCGTTTTGCTGCTCCTGTCTCTGCTAAACTTAATACAACAGAAGCTTGTATATGACTCAACGAAAAATCTTTCATGTCCTGGGAGCAATAAGCGCGGTCGCGTACTATTGATGTATTTTTTTTCTTTCCAAAACAAAACAACAAATTGGAATTTCATCAAAATTTCATTTTTATGATAAAGTACTAAAATTAAATTATACTTAAAAAATAACAAAATTCCTAAATAAAAGCAATTTAAGTAAGTAATAATTAGATAATATTGGTTATTTTGCATATATGCACTTGTTTTTTTATTAAAAATTTAACTAAATAACTGACTAATGCTTTAATGATTTGTGAATCTGAGCTTATTTAAAATAAATAATAATGTGTGCCTTATCTCGCCCATCTGTTTTCCTGCCTCAACATACACACAAACTTAAGTTCAAACCTGCGAAAGACGTAACCGTTTACCAATGATGCTAATTTTTCATCATCTCCTATCATAAATGTACCCACTACCATAGTGGGTACCATACACTTAAAGTACAGACATCCCGGGAATGTAAATAAAAATATACTTGAATTAAACATTCCCAAAAAATGTTCAATGAATTTTAATAAAATTAAAATTCGACAATATTTCACCCAAATGAAAAAATTTCATCTAACAGTAAATAACAACAGAAATTGATTTTTTCTCGTAGTTACCTTGGAAGGTTTTCAAGAATTAACAATTTAACTTTATGTAATATATAATGTATGGAAGATTTATTATTGCGATATGCGATACACAACAAATCCATTCCATGCGAAAAAAAAATGTTATACAGTAATCCGTTATAACGCATTATAACGCACTCCCGTATACTCTGTATACAAATGTGCAAAGGTACGCGAAGCTAATTATCAACTGTACAAATTCCTGCATTATATGGGGGAAAGCCCGTTTTATATGGGGGATTGAAATCGCGTAATAGGAAAACGCATTATAAGTTACCGCGTTATAGGGGGGATTACTGTATTAGTTATTCGAATAAGCTCAGTTTGAATGAAATATTTATGAGAATCATTTAAATGACACTTTTGCGTAATGCAATATGTAACTGGTGAGTAAGCCGAATTTGTGAATAGATGAAATGTGAGTATTTATAAGTCCGATTCTTGGAATATGTTTATATCTTATTCACAAAAGAAAATATATGTGTGTAGAAGAACAAGGGCAAATTTAATAATATTTTTAATTAAAGAAAATGTAACATTTTAGAATGTTATATTTTTTATAATAAATGCAACTAGTTACTCTTATCTTGTTGTTTCGTTCATTTGTTTCTTATGGTTTCAATAGTCAGCGTATCTCACTGACCCATTCGATACGCATTCTAATGCCAACATTAAAACAAAAATGTACGATCTCCACAAATAGAGATAAAACAAATTTGTGATATAATAAAATGCAAAATACTTTTTGCATAGGATACTGAACTCTTCTGCATAGGAATTTAAAGTCATAAAAACGTAATACTGAAACTATGAGTAAAAATTCATTTGTGTACATTTTCAGATAAAAGATATTAGGTATTGTGTTTTGCAGCCACTGTTCAGAAGCCTCTTCTTTTCGTGACTTCGAAGTCATTTGAATGTTATAGCTATAGCTATAGCTTGCGTTTACTGGAATATTATAACATTTAAATTATTAAAAATATTTTTTCGATATAAAATACTGATCGTAAATACTACGACAATCAGCATTAATAATGATAAGAATGCTAAAAGAAAAATACATATAAAACGCGTTACTTAACAACAGGAATTGTTAGTTGTAAAGTAAAATAAAATCAATATGAAGATACATTTTATTTAACAAAATTTTATTGTATGTTTAAAAAATGTTATGAGAACATTTAATGTATCAAAAGATATTAGTTAGCCGAACAAATTTAATTTCTTAAAACTTTTAATTCTCTGCTGTTTTTATCTGGCAATATTCAAAAGCCGTGGTATAAGTAATACTCTAAGATATTTTATTCTTAGAGATAAAATAAAGTGTAATTATTTATAATTTTTAAAATCTTTTTTTTTTTTGCTCAAAGTCTTCAAAGTTTTCCCCTCCTGATAAAATAAATTCATGCCATCGTTTTTCAAATCCTGAAAACAATTATGAGACTAAATTGTCGGATTAGCCTTTAAAGTGCACAGCGTTCTCAGTTATTATCAATCCAGTTACTTGTATTCTCAATCGTGTCGAAGAAGTGTCTTCGAAGTGTTCTATTGAGCTTAGGGAATACGCTTTGCTAAATCACTAGACTAAGATGGTTGTGGAATGATAAGCGTTGAATTTTTAGCTAAATATTTTCGAATAACTAATGCTATGTGAGATAGATTTATAAAACACGTGCGTAACTATTGGACAAATATGATATTGACATGAAATTGCACACAAATTAATTAAAAATTTTAACTTGTATTTTGATTACAACAGTATTATCTGATTTAGTAATGGGTCATGGAGTTGCTTTGTAGTTGCATATCCATTAAATCTACTGAACAATTTCTAATAGAATTGAAATAGTTACTGACTCTCAATTGGTAAATCATCACTAATGGTAACTGAGATTACTGTTACCGTAAGAATCTCTAATGATACAGTCGGTAAAAATAGAAAGACTAAAAGGTAAGACTAAGGTAAAGACTAACAATTGAAAAAAATTCGAGTCGAAAATCCAACAGTCACATTTGATCTTTAGAACCTTCATTAACCATCCAGTGATATTCAAAACTTTTATCATTGATTCCCAACAGATTACAGGAACAATATCTGATTAATAAATTGGTTAATAAATTATAAAGTTTTTTTAGATAATTAGTTTTCTTTTTTTTTTAAATAGCACAACAAGGAAACTGTTGTTTAAAAATGACAACAATTTGCTAAAACTCTAAATTTTGATAATGCAATTTATAAGTTTATTGTCTGGCACTTACAGTTTTAAAATTATATATAGACAGTTAAATCACTGGTTTTTCCAAAGACCATTCGATAGATAGATATTAGGTGATATCTGAAATATGACCAAAAAATGAATTTAATTAAAAACTAATTCTGGATTGAGAATTTTTCTTCTATTGCTCTTCTATTCTATTTCAAAAAAGATTTCTTTTTATAGGTATGGCTTAAACATTTATTTACAAATTGTTTTAGCAATTGGAACAAAAAAATGTGTGTTTATGTTTACTACCAAATTAAACAACATCTGGATTAATTTTCATTCATAAATTAAAAAAGATGATCAGTTGCAAAAATCAAGTTCAATCAATGAAGAATTATTTATGTACATGTCTGACTAGACAGTGAAAAAGTTATATTATATATTCATCTAAATGAATGCATAAAGATAAAATAATACTTTCAAATAACTCACCTTTATAGATTATAATTTTTTCCTTATTATATATTCTTAGATCCTATAAAGAAATATGCTGAAAATTGTCTATTTAAAATGAAGAACATTAAGCCTGGTTTTCCTGGATTTTATTTTTTAATACTTTAATTATTGCACATCGATTGTTTCACAAATTTAAACATATCTTTTTAGTACACACATTCCAAATACAGATTAAACTTCCAAGTAGATCTCACATTTAGAGTTCTGAAATGATAGAAAGTAAACAAATATTAAACAATAATTTAAATTATAAACGCTGTAAATTAATTATGAATATATTTAATATGTTTGTGAATGGCTTTATTCCTATGAATGGCAGTCAAACAGACACCAAGGCTTCATTGACAACATACAAACTGCGTGCATTTACATACCAGTCTATATTCTTGTTTATGAGTATTACTTGGTGTTAAATAGAATGAAGCATAATTACGAATCCAATAAAAACACTACGATAACTACTGAAATTATATAACAACTTAGATATTTTAAAAAAGAGAACTAGTTTCAATAATCGATGTAAAATAAAACACATACGAAATAAAACATAAAAAATGAAAGAAATCATATACCAGGGCTGCTATATATGTTTCTGTCCTAATAATTAAAATGCGAATATTTATCATCAAAAATTGCTTTATTGTCTTTCAAAGTATTCTCCAGCCTGATTTATACACTTTTGCATGCGCTCAAACCAATTGTCGAAGTACTTTTTTATATAATATAAAAAATTATATTATATATATAATATAAGAATATTTTGAACGGTGGCAAATTCTATTATTTACAAAATAATTGAATTCCTGTTCGTGAAACGCTGTTACCATAGATACAGAATTTGCAATAAAAAAGATTTGTTATATAACGGTTACAAAAAATATTGATATAACATATTTTAGGGAACTTTACAAATATATAAAATGTTAAAAGACGTTACGAATCATTTGAAAGCCTTGCACACAATTTGACTGTAATGATATTATGATCTAACTCCAGTAAGATCTGTCATCGCCAGACTTAGGAAAGGAGTCTGGGATATATTTGAATACATATTAAAATTTTTCAAAAACGGCATTTCATCTACTTGATGCTGTACACGAATTTTAAATAACCTTTATTTTGATATCTGATATTTTTTAGAATTCAATTTTTTTTAGAAATTTTTTCAAAGTTGATATTTTGTTTTTGAAAAATATTTATTCTTTCAGAAAACTTAATCTAAAATATTAAAAACTATTCTAACATAGTTAGCATTATTAATCTCCAAATGATAATGTTCATTAAAGAACAATAACCAATAACTCGTTTGTTAATTATTAACGCGATTCTATAAACTCATCTGACATTCTCCCAATTTTTCTTGGGAGAAGGTTTCTTGTTTTGAAAGAAGTTATATTCAGAAACAAATATTTTTATATTGTTCAACCGTTATTTGAAGTGTGTGTTATTACAGATATAATATAAATTATAAAAACCTAGGCTGGCATTTAACGTCGTCGCGGAATAGTTAAGATACCATCGCGTTGTTATTAATAACAATTGCGGACGAGCTCTTGAAATCTAACAATCGTCCAACGCGATTCTTTGCGTATAAAATAGACTGCTCACCACTTATAGTTTTTCGCGATTCGCAGCTGGGGGGACAAGTATTAGAGAGCAAACGCTATTCCCTGATGAATTCACGAAATTGTTTTCAATGACAGTGATGATAATGTGACTACCCGCGATGTTAAATGCTGGCTGAGCTGGAATACAATCTACTTGTGCATAGATTTTCAATTACTAAGTTATTGTCGTTATATTTGTTTACACCAATCAGTATTTAAAACTTATCGATATCGATTGAATTGAATTTTAATATATCGATTTTTTGATTTTAAATATTTTTAATTTTTAATATACAAAAAATTTCCTTTTATATTTTATTTCGTTTTTTTTCCATAGGATAGTATACTATGAAATTGAGGTTTCTTTTTATAGTATGATACTTATATGATGTCTAATAGCTAAAGTTGAGTTCATTGGTTCATTTTGATGCATTAATATTCCCAGCAAAGACGCATTCCATTGCAATATGGGATAATGCAAGTGTAACTTTCTGAATATCTATAATAAAAAACGCTTAACCCAGAAAATTCTCCCCTATTTTTTGTTAAAATACAAAAGAATATGATAAATATATTACATTCTAAAAATAAAACGTTCTAAAGTTTTCTTATAAAACTTTAATATAAGGCTTAAAAGTTATGTTTTAGCAGCAGCCCACTGTTGGTTGCCGAGCTTGTTATAAAATGGAGAGAAACTATATAAAATATTTCTTAAGATTTATCATATCTAAAGAATATTAATAAATGCCGCATACTGCCCAATACCGACGCTTGTTAACTTGTTCGTGTCGGTCTTTGTAATAACACTAAAAGGCAAAATTACTTGGAAACCAGAGTTATAAATGCAGAAAGCATATTATCATTTCAAAAGAGTTGTATGCGCTTCCATACATAGGTATATGCATATATTTTACTATATGGTACTTTAAAAGAGTTTTAATAAAATGGATTTGAAATACTAAATACTGATACTAAACGTTATGTAATTTATTTTTGTCACAAAATATATATATTATATATTTCTAAATATGAATGCAGATTCCAGGTGGTGTCTTTTTTAAAATAACCCCACATTTATTGATGTGTCCATGCTATGAAATATTGTATGAATGCAGTTATTTATCGCCAAACAAATATCTATACACACATGAAGTAAAGAAAGATCAAACCAACACATAATAAAATTATTGCCAAAACTTAAACGAAATCATATTTATATTCAGAAGAACGCAAAAAGTTGTTAATAAGAATGCTTGCAATTACACAAAATGATACAAATACACTTATACGCATATCTATGTTACTGTCAAAAGGATATAACATTTATATATATAAACACAGAGTGCTTTTGTCATAAATGTTAATATTCACGCAAAAAATTCAAATAAATTGGTTGTGGGTTTCAAGTTGTTACGATAAAAACTCTGCTAATATTAGAATCCTGCAAAGAGACACAGCATGTTGGAAGTATCTAGGCACTGCAAAAATCTATTTTTGGCATGTCATATACTGTTTATTTTCCCTGCAAATAATAAATATTTATTACAAGGCACGTGTTGTGGAGATACCTTGGTTGTCTTGAAGAAAAGTTAAAGAAAAGAACTAGTTTAGGAGGAGGATAAAAATTATGTGTACATACAAGCATTTTTATAGCAAAAGTAATGCTCACTAAACCTAAATAAGGTGTTAAAGTGTCTAGAGTGTACAACTTATTATTTATCACAGTAACTACAGTAAAGTGCAATTAAAACTAAATAAGTTTTTGTGTAATGTGACACAAAAAGTTATATCTGATGATATGAAGTACAAAGAGGTTTATTATTTTCCTTACAGACGACACGATTTATTATATGCAATTGACAGTACAATTAAAGTATATTTTAAAAAAATCATTAAAATCATTTAAGTCATACATTGTAAAGGTCACTTTGTATATAGATTGTTCTGCTACAAATTCAATTTTCGAAATTTGGATAGCCAAAATATATATCTGAGATATCTTTTATGTAAATAATGCTATTCAACTCAAGATAAACTTATCTACAAATAACTTATCTAATAATTATCCTAGACACGATTTTGTTTTTATCATTGCACAAACTTGGACTTGTGATATAGGTAAACGAATTTGTAATAATAATATGGATCCCATAAACATCAACAAAGTTTCATTATTTTCAAGTTTTCAAGTAAACAAAACGCATTGAAGTTGAAACACCCCATTCATTTTTTAAAATTAAATTTTTTTTTAGGATGGTGCTCAAATTTTCGACAAGGTATTGCACGAAGACTTACTTGCGAAAATAAATTAAAGCTTCCTGAAAATACGCATCAGCTATTTCTTTCTTACTTAATTTCAAGAACATTTTGTTTGAAATAAATAACTATTTTACGAGAAGAAGAAGTTGAGAGAAGTTGAAATAACGGCAGATATATTTTTTTACTATATACAGCCGATCTTCCTCTTTTTTCAAACCATAAAATCTCAACTTTTGCAGACAATACTGCAATTCTTAGTGCACGTAGAAATTTCATTTCATGTCATTACATCTGTGCCATGTTGAGAAGTGGTTACCCAAATAGAGGATAAAGGTAAATGAATCAAAAAGTGTGTAAATGACGTGAAGTATCTTGGCATCCATCTTGATAGAAGGCTAACTTGGAACAAAAACATAGATAATAAGAAAACGTAATTAAAATTAAAGTTTAACCAGCTCTATTAGCTTATGAACCCAAATAGTAACTAAGTGTCGAAAACGAGGTCTTACTTTACAACTGTGTCATTAAATCTATATGGACTTATAAAATAAATTTATGGTGCTCAGCCAGCTCTACAAATATGGAAAAGATTCAAAGAGTGCAAAACTTCCTCGCACGAAAAATAACAGGAGCATTTTCATTTTATCTAACTTTTTGAGCATATTTTTATATGGATTTTATACAAAAAATGGCACATCATATTCTTTGTTGTCTGATCTTATTACTTTAGTAGATGATGTTGAAGAATTTTTCTGTACTATTACTAATCTATTACTAACTATTACTTACTTTAATAGAAATATCAATATAAATTAACTATTGTGTATAATATAAACTATTTCTCTCTATCTATTGTTTTAGACTACCAGAGTGGGTTACAAAGTTAGGGTTCACTGGTTATTCAATAATTTTTGCTAGCCAGCTTTCTTACTGGGCTCTCATTCAGAACGAAAAGCTGACTGCAGTCGGCAATATAGCTTTGTCAGTGGCTAGACTAGAGTGTTTTTTCAATTAAATAATTATTGGATTTTATAAAAAAAGAAACAGAATTGAAATTCACAATGTGTCAACTTTAAAATATAATATATGAAATGGAAAATAATGAAATATTATGATTCAAATATTGGTTATTCAGTGTTGATTTCTTATACCATAGTGCCTTTAGATAAGCAATCAACTTTTAAGCGTGGGTTGCATACTCATAGGTTTTACAACTAAACCATATATGCGTAGGTTGTGTTTTGTTTCATGTATCTGAGTAAATTTAATACACAATATAAACGAGCAAACTAAACTAGCAATTCATTTCAATGCTGCGGTTGATTATATATTTA